ATTTTTAATTTTTTTTCCTATTCATAAGTTATAGTTTCAAAGGTTTTTTTTTTTCTTTTTGGTGCTTTTGTGCTTTTGAGTTTGAGAACATTTAATTTGCCAACTCGAGAAACAGAATTGTTTTCCACTTTGATAAAATTTCATATGCAAGTATACAAAATACTGGGCAATAAAATCAAACCCTGAAGTTATGTTTCCACTTAGAAATCTTAAGTCTTAAGAATGAAGGAGAATGAGTTGTTTTGTACTTTAGTGGTATTCCATTTGCCTTTGATCTATAGGAGAGTCATAATGAATAGCCCATAAAATAGTGCATTTTATTGTTTTCTCTTTTCTTTTCCTCTTCTTTCCTCCCCTCCCTTTTACTTGCCTGTGCTGTATTCTTTCTCCCAACCAGAATCTAGCCCCCGGCTTCTCATTTACTTTCAGTATGGAGTGTAAGCTAGTTCCCAAGTTTATTTTTTTACAATTTAAGTTTATGACAAACAAAAAGATTGCCTAAGATGACATTTAAGCTATGTTACTGTAGAGCTAATACTTTATTTTGTGGTTTCTTTCTAATAACATTTTATCCAGCCAAGCTATCACCGAAAATCATAAAGGTTTGTTTTCTTTTTAAAATTGTCTGGGAATTGTTATTACTTTCAAATAGTTTTACAAACTTTTCTTTCCCTAAAATGAGAATTTTAGGCATTTATATTTACTAATTGCAGGATTGAATTTAAGTGTTCTGTTAATAGATTTTGATTTTTAAAATCAATTTGATTAAAAATATAAATATAAAATTTGATTTTCAGTTTAATGTGCACATGGTGGTAAAGTCCTTAAGACCAAATTTCAGGTAGCGATAAAAAATTATGCCTCCTTATCATATCTTCAAGATTCAGAAAAAACACTGAGCGGTGCATCACGGTACTGTGAGTCTCTCCTATGTAGGAAAAGAGTTCAGAGGCCCTTTCAGGAGGAACTCACTCCACTGAGGTGGCGTCCTTCAGTTCTTGTGATCTCGTCTCTCCTCTCTTTGCCCTCCTTTTTGGTGGTGACAGGAGTGGAAAGTTCTGTTAATTTTTTAAATTCTTTTATGATTTCTTTAAATTGAGTTGAGGGGCTGGCAAGATGGCCTAGCAGACAGAAAGCACTTGATGGCATGTTGTACTGACAACATGAAGGAGAAAGCCAGTTCGTGCAAGTTGTTCTCACCTTACACCCCGCTGCCTAACAACAAAACAAGCCAGGGACTGTTAACAAATGTTACCATTAGGCTTTCTAGTGTTTGTTTGTCTTTCGGTTTTGTTTTGTTTTGGACAGGATTTTTCTGTGTAGCTTTGGCTGTCCAGGACTCATTTGTAGACTAGGCTGGCCTCGAACTCATAGCTAGCCACCTGCGTCTGCCTCCTGAGTGTTTGGGGTTAAAGGTGTATGTCACCACACCTGGCTAGGCTTTCTAGTTTTTGTTTTGGTTAAATAAAAATGGGGTTGGGTGGGTCCCAGGTGACTCAACAGGTAAAGAAGCCTGATACCATGCTGAATACCTGAGTTCAGTCTCCAGTACCCACGTAAAAGGAGAAGCTGATCCCTGCAGGTTGTCCTCTCCAGCCATGGTGTGGACACATACATTAAATACATTAAAAACTATGAAAAGCATATGAATCAGGGAACTTGTAGATCAGGACAGTGTATCCTAGCTTTGTTCTTACCTCTTTCTGAACTGGTAGCTCAGCCAGGCGTCCCAGCTTGGTAGGTGAGTAAAAGGCTAGCCTGGTCTACAGAGCAAGTTCCAGGATAGCCAAGGCTACACAGAGAAACTTGGTTTCAAAAAACCAAACCAACCAACCAAAACCTGGTAGCTCAGTAACTGTCATAGGTCACAATTTTCTTTTTAAGAAATGTTATGTGTATAAGTGCTTTCTCTGCATCTGTATCTACATGGCCTTTCTGGTGCCTGTAAAGGGCAGAGGAGGGTATCGGATCCCCTAGAACTGGGAGTAACAGATGGATGTGAGTCACCCTGTTAGTGCTGGGAATTGAATCTGGGTCCTCTGGAGGAGCAACCAGGGTTCTAAGTGCTGAGCTATTGCTGTAGCCCCACAATTTTCTTTAAAAAAAAAATGTGTGTGTGTGTGTGTGTGTGAGAATATGAGTGCTTTGTCTTTACACGCAGCAGAAGAGAAACTCAGATCCCAGTGCAGATTATTATGAACCACCATGTGGTTGCTGGGAATTGAACTCAGTACCTCAGGAAGAGCAGTCAGTGCTCTTAACCACTGAGCCAATTTTATTTCTTTTTTTTTTTTTTTCCAATTTTATTTCTTATTGGCCTTTTTTTCATGAAAAATTTCAAGAGCACACTGATCAAGATCCTCTTCAGAATACATAGTATTGGTTTATCTCTTAAGTTTCTTTGACTTTACATTATTTCCCTCCTTTTTTCCTACACAATTCACACCACATATTATAGAGGAAACTCTTTGAGTTTGGCTGACTTGTATTTTGGTAGCTTGTCATATATTTTGTTAATGGGTTGGTTACCTTTGGATAGATTTCTTGTTACATCACATCAGAATGTAAGGCCTGCTTATCTTGGTTTTAGTGAGATTAGTTAGCATGTCTGTATAGACCTAACAAAGGAGGGCATATGTCTAACAGAAGATTTTGTAGTCCTTCTTGTGGTGGGTTTATTCAGCATTGCTAAATACTGAAAATTGCCCAGTTGTCTATCAGCAATAGAACAGGTAAATAAATTGTATGACTCAGAATGAAACCCAAAACATACTAGTTGGCACATACAGTAGCGTTTATATTTTTCACAGAAGCAGGGTTGAGTAGGGTTAGTAGAGTGTACTAAAGGAGTTCAGTTCTGAGTGAAAAAGTCAGCAAAACCAATCATAGGATGGTGAAACAATCACTTTGACCAAATCCTTTCTCCACTGATAGAAGTATCTTTTCTACTCAGTTTTAGAGGATCTTGGATGGATTTTTACATCATGGTTCTGTTCATCCATTAATGTGATTGTATCATGTTGTAGTTACAGAAGTGTTGTTTTTATTTCTGACTTTTAAGGGTTTTCCTAGCTATTTTGCTTGTTTGCTTTTTTCATACTAACTTCAATCAACTTAAGTAGCTTCAAGGAAAAAAAGAGGCAAAGGTCTTTTCATTAGTATTGACATCATATTAAACTATTTTAGGGAGAACCATTATATTGTTGATGAATTTAGGCTTATTTTTACTGTTTTAAATAAAATAGTCAAGCCAGATGTCATGGCATATGCCTTTAATCCCAGACCATCTTGTTTATTGGTTTTTCAAGACAGAGTTTCTCTGTATAATAGCCTGACTGTCCTAGACTCACTTTGTAGACCAGGCTTGTCTAGAACTCACAGAGATCTGCCTGCTTCTGCATCCTAAGTGTTGAGATGAAATGAATAACAGGCTGGATTTTTTTTTTTTAATGTTTTTTCATTTTCTTCTGTGGACATTTTCATATGAGGTATGTCCTGCTTACCACAACATTCGCCCATTTTGAGTGTATATGATATAGTGATTTTTGATTTTTGTATGTTTGTGCATGTATAGTGATTTTTTTTTTAAAGCAGGTTTGTAGGTCTATTAGCTGGACTAGATTTATGTTTTTATTTGGGGGGCTTACATTTTACAGTTAACTTGCTTTAAAAATACATATCAAACTATGGACCTAACATTTAGGTCATGTCTGAAATTACATTTGTGTCATTTCAGAAAGTTGCCATTTTTAATTTTTTTTTTTTTTTAAGATTTATTTATTATGTATACACAGTGTTCAGACTACATGCCAGAAGAGGGCACCAGATCTCACCATACATGTTTGGGAGCCACCATGTGGTTGCTGGGAATTGAACTGAGGACCTTTGGAAGGGCAGCCAGTGCTCTTAACCTCTGAGCCATCTTTCCAGTCCTTATTTGTTTTTGTTTGTTTTGCTTTTTTTGAGACAGGATGTCCCTGTGTAGCCCTGGATGTCCTGGAACTAGCTCTGTAGACCACATGGGCCTCACATTCAGAGATCCACCTACTTCTGCTGCCCAAAAGGTGTGATGTGCCACACCTCTTGGACCCACATATTTTTAAAATTAAAAAAAAAAAAAAGATTTATTTATTTCATGTGTGTACTGTTTTTTTGTTTGTTTGTTTGTTTGTTTTGAGACATGGTTTCTCTGTGTAGCCCTGGCTGTCCTGTACTTGCTTTGTGGACAGGCTGGCCTCAAACTCGCAGAGATTCACCTGCCTCTGCTTCCCAGAGTGCTGGGGTTAAAGGCTTGTGCGATGACACCTGGCTGCTGTTATGTGTTTTACTTGTATACATGTGTACTACATGGGAACCTGGTTGGTACCAGTGGAGGTCAGAGAGGGTGTTGGATCCCTTGGGACTGGAGTGATGGATGGTTGTGAGCCACTACATGGCTTCTGGAAAACCAGACCCAGAGCCAGTAAGAGCGACACGAATTCTTTCTTAACTGCTCAGCCACTTCTCTATCCCACTCCTGTGTGTTTTATAGTGACTTTTATGTTGAGGTGTATGTAAAGGGTATATTTATATATATGTTTTTATGTGTATGAGCCTATGTGTGTCTTATAACTGTATACACATTTACAAAGTACCCATACAGTTCCTGCTTCATTGCCTATTTTGTTGTTTTGAAATAAGGTCTTATACCGTATAGCCTGGGGTGGCCAGGAACTCGGAGTCCAAGACATTCGATATTCTCAAACTCTAACCAATTATTTTGCTTCTCTCTCCAGAGTGCTTGGATTTAGGTGTGAGCCACCATATCTGGCTTTATTGCCTGTTTTTTTGAAATATAAATGAATAATACTAGAAAGTTTTGGCCATACATACCTAAATCAACAGACTCGAGCTTTCTGTCTTGACATAGTGAAATAGAAGTCCCCTTACAATTAGGGAGTTGTTTTTTGAGTAAGAAAAGATGACATCCATTCTAAGTGTGTCTGTTCCATGTTTGTTAGAGGATGGCATTCCCTGTGGATTTGCTGGCTAACTGTACACATGAGGAATTGGAAAATTCTGCTGAGGATTACCTCTCCAACTTAAGGTGTGGGGACCCTGAAAATCCAGAGCGTTTTTCTATTCTCGATATTACGGTAAGACATTCTGCAGTGATTTTTACCAACCTTTCAGAAGTCCAGCTACATATCAGGGTAAAAAAAAAAATCATTCAATTTTGAAATATTTGCCAGAAATCTACCAGTAAAATGTGTTAACAAATTGGCAAATCAGGGTTTTGGGGTGTGTGTGTGTTTGAAGGTGTGTGCGTTGCTACATGTGCACGCAGAGGCTAGAGGAGGACATGGCTATCTTCTTCTATTGCTTTATACTTTTTTCCTTTGAGACGGGGCCTTTGACCAAGCCTGAAGCTTGCCTTTTCAGTGAGGCTTGCTGGCCAGAACTCGCAGCATTCATCCGTCCCCAGCCCCATGCTAGGACGCAGGCATGAGAGGAATGGCCGTGCCTGGATTTCATGTGGGTGCTGGCCGTTTGATTCAAGTTCCCATGCTTACTTAGGTGAAGTGCCTTTCCCGTTGACCTCTCCTCCTGACCTCTTTAGACAAAATGCACAGGTTATTACTCAGTGTTTCTCTTTTTGCAGTTAATTTTATAGTACGAAGTTTACTAGTTTTGCTAGGACAAGGTACCATGTCAAAGCTGTGCTACTTAAATTTATTTTAGATTTGGATTTTGTGAATTTAGAAATGTCTTTTAATTTAAAAAGTTACAAAGACTCAAAATTGCATTTTTCCATCATAAATCTTTTCTTCCCTCTGAAAATTTTGTGATTTTGAAAAATAAAAAATGTAATCAGTAAGTGTGTTTCTTTGAGTCTTGGGATCATGTAAATTCCACTATGAACTGAAGTGGCCAGATTTATTACTATGTTGGGCCTTGTAGCTTTCGTCTCAGAATGATGGGTGGAAAAAATAAAATTTTATATATGGTGGGAGATGGGACACGTGGGAATCAGAGGACAGCTTTCAGTCAGCTCTCTCCTCCTGCCACATGGGACCTGGTGGTAAACTCAGGTTATCAGGTTTGGCAGCGAGCTCCTTTCCCCACTGAACTGTCTCACCTGCTCAGATGTAGAGCAGTTTAATGACTTCCTGCACCAGCATTTTCTAATTCTCTAACTTCATTCTAAGTGGAAGATTGATGCCAGGTCAGTGAAGGCAAAACAGTGTTAAAGTATTGCATGTATCTTGCTGAAGCATCAGTTTACCTGACTTTTCTTTTACTAGAAAATGAAATATGTCCCTCTTGGGAAGTCTAGTGATAATATTAACTACAGTTGGTTTTATAGTGACGTTTGCTCTTTACTCAGTAGCATGGTTGTCGTCTAGAACTACTTATAGAAACAAATTTTCACTTTTCCATGAGAAAATAAAATTCTTGGAGAAGAGAAGCCTGCTTTCATTGTTGCTTGTTTGTTTTTATTTTTACTTTTTGGAGGAGACTAGGGATATTACCTCCTGTGAAATGAAGCTATATATTAAAATAAGAATTGAGAAAAGCTTAAATTCTGGTAAATCCTTTGGTATTTTGTCATGTATTTTTATTAAAGTCTCAACTAATCTTGAATCATCTTTTATTTCAGATTCCTATTAGCCTGTCAAATGTGGGCTTTGTACCCCTTTATGGTGGCAGTCAGACCCAGAAAGTCCTTGCTCTCTTTGCGCCTGAAGATTCACTCACAGGTTTCTTCTTTGCTTCATTTCTGTAAATTGAGGAACTTTAATTCAGACTGATAGGAATTTACTGAGAAACTACACAAAAGATTTATTGTAGAAACTTTTTTCAAATTTTAGTTTTAGAAAAATGTAATTCTCAGTTGCTTATAACTAAACATTCAATGAATGAAGTAAAATGAAAGTGTAAAGTGTAGAACTGTGATCCTGGGAGGAGAGGCTGTAGCTGAACGATAGAGCTGGATGTGAGGGATACTGGATTTGACTCTAAACATGAGAGAAAAGGAAAACAAGTGAGAATGGGTGTAATTTATAGTGTGTATATAATCTTTATCAAGTAGCAATCTGTCTATTTTAACGCTTTAGACTTAAATGTTAATGGCCATTTTTCTGTTTTTAGCTGTGGCACTTTACCTTGTTGATCAATGGTGGGCCGTTGATGATATTGTGAAAACATCTGAACCTTCTAGAGAAGGGCTGAAGCAGGTAATAGATCATGTTCTTCAGTGATCCCTATAAATGATGATAGTTTTTGAAGTTACTGAACTCCCATTTTCATATAAAAGTTATAATGAACTCCTGGGTTTTCTTATGGTGAAAACAGGACTCAGTTTTGGCTTCCTTTGTTTATATGATCCTGCCTTTCCCAATAATTAGGTGAGAAGAACGGTTTCTGTGGGCTTGGTTGACTGAGCTGTCTCCTTAAGCTTCTGATCTGGTAGAGGAGAAGCTAGTTTTTTGGTCTGGTTGCACTTGAACCACACCAATTGGAAGGAACAAGAGTTGTGTCAAATTTTGACATCTCGGATAGGCTGTATTGTAGTTCCTGTTCTTATTTTTTCTTTTGAGGTTGTAACTTTGAGAGACATTAGACTCAAAGGGAAGGGATTTTAGGGAAGCAGTAATATGAGTATTATTTCTTCTGGATATTGTATTTATTCTTGAAAGTAATAAGTCTTAGGAGAGTAATATACCAAGCATTATTTCTTCTGAATATTGTATTTATTCTTGACTATGCCTTTAGATTCCAAAGTCAGAGGCCATCCCATAGCAGCTGGGGGAATGAACATCTGGTACCTGCCAATCCTTGTAATACAATCTTGTAGTCTTCCTGTAGAGAGGAAGAAGGATTCAAAACTTGCATAAAGCCAAAAAAATAGATACAGATAGCTGTGCAATAGTGTAACTTGTTAGCTTGGACAGTGGAAGGATACATAAACAAAACAAATATCCCATAGATTTGAAGTCTGACTCAGGTATGGCATCTTACAGAGGACATCTAGATGAGAGTTAAAGGATAGAGGACAACTATTTATAATGTCTTCTACTCAGGTGAGGAAACTGAAGCCTCCAGGTATGACCTGGGAAAGGAGGATGACTTAAGACCAAAAATAAGACTGATGACTTCGTTCAGCTTTAATATCAATATCTATATGACAGTATCACCTTTGAGATTTAGGGAAATCAGTGAGGGGTGGCCCAGAAGAATTAGTTGTTCTATTCTGGCTAATTAAGAAAAGTTGGTAAAGTCACAAGTGGGAAATAACCATTGTTTATAAATATATAACCGTGAGCAAATGACATTATTGTTGTAGATCTTATTTTCCTCTGCCTTATATGTTATGGTAAAATTAAGATTACAACCTAGGATTCACACTTAGGCTTAGTTATAGCTGGTGGTGTTCAGGCATGCTGCAAGACTTTCCCCCTTTCAGTCTCACTGCCAGTTTCCTGAAGGACATGGATGGCATGCTTACCTGTTCTCTATGTCCCTGTTTTTGTCTCTGTGTTGACTGAGGGAACTAATCTCTGCAAAGCAGAATCCAGAAACAAAGACTTCTTAACCTGGATGCATTAGCCGTTTTCCTCTGTTAAAATACCATAACTAAGGCAGTTAACGGAAGAGTTGTGTGAGCCTACAGATCCAGAAGGAAGAGTTCCTCATGACAGGGATTCATGTCAGCAAGCATACACAGTGGCCAGAGTAGGAAGCTGAGAGATTACATCCTGAACTGTAAGCACCAAGCAAAGAGAACAGCTGAAGTAGGGCAAAGCTATATTATCTCAAAGCCTGTCACCAGTGATATACCTTTCCAGCAGGACTGAACCTTTTAAATCTCCCCAAATTGTGCAACCAACTAGGATCCAAGTGTTGAAGTACCTGAGCCTATGGGGGACATTTCTCATTTAAACCACCATGCTTCGTATGTATCTCAATTGGTAGAGTTTTGCCTAGCTCATGCCCTAGTTTTGATCCCCATCACCGTAAGAAGTGGGTCTGGTGCCTGCAAATCCCAGCACCTGGGAGGTGGACACAGGAGGATCAGAAACTCCAGGTCATTCTCAGCAACAGAGTAAGTTCAGGGTCACCCTTGGCTTCATGAGCCACTGTCTCTTAAAATATTAATAGGAACAAATAAACTTCAAAAGGAATAAATGTAAAGTAATATGTATACATTTCAGAAAGATTAGTTGTACACGCACACCACTAATCCCAAACTGAAACAGCAGCGTGTGTGAGAAAGGTTGGGCTTCAGTGATTGTAAATAAAACAAGGCTAAGAAGCCTTGGGTTTGCACAGGAAGCTCACATTAGCTCCACACTCTTCTCTGTTTGTAACAAATGTGCCAAGCATGGACAGAGACATTAGAGGTCTGAGGCACTCCCAAAGAAGAGGATTCCAAAGTTAGTCTCAACTGGCCTACTCTGTTTCTTCAGTAGTTAGGTTGCATTGGGGTAAGATTTAAAAAGAACATGGCTGTCTTCAAATGCTGGTACTCTGTCTGTCTGCATAATATCAAAGAATAACCACTAGGAAAGTAGATTTCAGTTCAGTGTGAGACGGAGTCTTATGTTGGTTGGTGCTGCATGAAGAAGAAGTGGCTTTGTCAATTAAGAGATAGGCTGTTATGCCATTTCTTGTATTGTTTGGCTCGGGAGAGCCTCTGCCAGGGGTATCTTTGGAGTAGTGTGTGCACATAGTTGATAGTTTCTTACTCTGCACAGATAATCAGGACAAAGTTATTTTCCTTTCAGGGCACTTGCAAGAAAATAGACTTCATAGACAGAAGTCTTGGATTTTAATGACAGAAGGCAAAGGTGCTCTGTAGTGCTGCGATGGTGTGGCTCTAGGAGTAGGAGCTGGCCTCTTTTTGTCATTGTATGCTCCATATGGGTTTCAGAGACTTCCTGCTGTCACCATATTTGTTCATCTGCTTTAGCAATGGGCTGTGTGGATGGAAGGGCTGGATATCCTAATGGAAAGACAGTTGTAAAGGAACGTTTAACCTGAAAAAGGAGAGAAAGATTTCTTTCCCAAGGGCCGCTTTCATGAAATGAGGTGATTGTTCTGAAAGACTCCTGGGAATAGTACTAGTTTTTAAAAGGAAATAATTTTCTTAATGTAGGGGCAGGAATGGGGTGAAAGGATTGAAGCAGAGTATAGAGTGGAGCCCAGTAGTTGGGGCCACAGAGACCCCTTGGATCTGGGGAGCTAGAACCCTGAAGACACTGCACTGGGTGAGGGCCAAGACAGTGTGCGCCTTGGAACCTGTTCTGCTGTTTTAGAATTTGCTCCAAGGTAGTATCCCATGCATAACATGTGTTTGTGGGAGTGGGCTGTTCTTGTTATAAATGATTAGCCTTGATTTTATGTAATAGAATATTTTCAGATTGTGTTGACTGTATCTGAAGCGCTGAATGAGCGTAGGAACTTTGGGAGCTGGGAACAAGGTGATTGGCGTTTCCTAGTAGCTGCATATTGTAACTGCTTGCCTGCTGTTTGATCTCTTTGTAGGTGAGCACTCTTGGAGAAAGAGTGGTTCTGTATGTTCTCAATCGAATTATTTATAGAAAACAGGAAATGGAGAGACATGAGATCCCATTCCTGTGTCATAGCAGTACTGACTATGCTAAGATTCTGTGGAAGAAAGGAGAGGCCATTGGGTTTTATTCAGTTAAGCCTACAGGTGAGTTTTACAAGCTACTTCAACTGTGCTATGGAAATCTCTATTTTGACCCGCAGCTGTGTCAGTATTTGTTAAATCAACTCTAGAGTGCACTCAGGGTTTCTTGGGAATGTCCCAGCTTTACTGTCCTGTGAAAGCCTTTTGAAAAGTAAAAACAAGCTTTAGACAAAGAAAAAGACCTTGCAGTCTTCTTAGCCGTGCTTTTGCTCTTTCATTTAAGGTTGCTATTTTGATTTCTGCTGCTGTTCCTATTACTTAAAAAGATCCACAAGGCTTACGCGCATTGCCATTTCTACTTAGAGTGCTTAAAGTACTATTAATTGATTATTTTAGCTTTGTTCTTTGAGGTAGGGTCTTGTTCTAACTCTGTAGCCCAAGCTGACTCTGAGTATGCTGTTCTTCATTTGATGGGGATCCCTTCTCTTCTGGGACCTGGGCTCCGCTCCTCCTGTTCTGGTGGTCAGGTCCATTTTATATCCTGGAGCTGTGAGGTGCTGCAGCAGCAACTACCAATTTCAGCACCCGCCCCCCCCATTCTTTCTAACTTCTATGTCGTCATTGTATTTTCCTTTTGAGCTCCGTCTTCCTCTGCTGGGTAGTAGTGGAACTTGGGGTGCTAATGCCAGCCTTTGGATTAGTAAGTAACTTTATATCAAGGGAGTGCTCTTTCTTTCCTTTTCTTTTTCTTTTTCTTTTCAATTAAATTTTTTATTTATTTTTTTATATTAGTTACAGCTTATTAACTTTGTATCCCAGCTGTGGTGCGCTCTTTCTTTAAAGGAAACTAAAACGTAACTAAAATTATTTTGAGAAACTGTCCCAAAGAAAATCTGAAACACCCTTACCTCCTTTCTTGCTTTCCTTCCCTATCCATTATATACACATGGTTGGAAAAAGTTATACCTGTAGCTATAAGATAAAATCTTCTAAAAATTTATATCAGTTTGTGTGTGTGTGTGTGTGTGTGTGTGTGTGTATGTGTGTATGTGTGTATGCTACAGTGCATGTGTGGCAGTCAGAGGACAATGTGTAGCAGTCAGTTCTCTCTTTTCATCCTGTGGGTCCTAGGGATAGAACTCAGGTCAGACTCAGCCAGGTGCCTTTACCTTCTGAGCCATGCCGCTGGCCCCTGGAATCCCACGTGTGTGCCATCACACCCGGCTGTTTGGTTATTTTAATGAAGTTTGCATTAACTTACTCCTGTGTTTCTTTGTGATTATATCACCCATACCAAAGGCCTTAAAGATGCTGAGATGTACTCCATCACTCTCCTACATCCTCGGATCTTACAATTTCTTTTTACACTTTCAAAACAATTGAGAAGCATCACATATTTCAAAGTAATTTTTCAAATAAGTAAAGTGCAAAAAAATTTTCTTGTTTATTTTGCTGTTGAAAGAGGGCTTTTATTTTAATCATGTGGTTGAAGCACATGTATTTGTGACCTGTGTTAAAAATCTTACGTTTTATAATTCTGGTTCCTAGAAGCTTTATCTACCCAGTAATAACAGTCTGTGTCCTCAAGCCTTGTATTTATTAGTAGATAGTTTGAGCAGTGATAATAATAATAACTACCTCAGGTCATGAATGTCATTAGTATGGTGAATGCTCTAGCATACTGAACTGCTAGATTTTTTCACATTGTATCATATTTTACTTTTTGTTCATAAATTAATATTTTGGTCATCTGTTACTTTGCTAGCATCTTAAGTAGAGTTCAAATTATATCTGCAAGTAAAGGGCTTTGTAGATTATATTTCCAAAGTAGGAATTTAATTTAAATTAAATAGAAACAGTAAGAATTACTTTAAAAATAAGAATATTTCTTTATGAGAAAAGGCTTTTTTGTTTTGTTTTTCAAGACAGGGTTTTTCTGTGCAGCTTTGGCTGTTCTGGACTCGCTTTGTAGACCAGACTTGCCTCAAACTCACAAAGATCCACCTGCTTCTGCCTCTCAGGTGCTGAGCTTAAAGGCTTGCTTCACTGCACCTGGCAAGGACCCATTTCTTAAGTTAGAAAAACCCACTTTCATATTTACTTCATTCAAAAGATTCATAGGAAGGAAATCTATTTTCCTTTAAATATTGGTATCAGCATTTGAATGGAAGCAGAAAAATAAATATTTAAAAGTAGAAAATAGACTTAAAGAGACTTAAAGAAATAAAGACAATTGTGTTGTATCTTTCAGATCTTTGCTGTCCCAAATTTAAATACATTTGGAAACTACATAGCATAACTTGTTCCCTTAGTTCCTTTATTAGAAAAAATTATTCCAGATTTTTAGAAAGTTATGGTTTAGTAGACAGGAGTGCACTGATTTCGCTCCTCCAACTCTCTGTGTGAGTGGTAATCTTGGTACAGTAGCCAGGGGCACATCAGGAGAGAGCTGCTTGTTTTGTGACACAGCTAGGCTAGAATTACAATATTTAAACACAAAAACAAAACAAGTAGGTTGGTCTTAGGTGTTGTTTTTCCCTGAGATGTCTACATCTTGGAAAGTTGAATGTCTGTTAAGGACAGGTACCCTCAAGTCAAGTTTGTGATTGCTTGAACACATTGTGTTAACTGACCATTGCAGGGTCCTATCTGTTCTGTGTGTGGGCAGACATGTGTGCACGGACGGGCCTGCTGCCCCCAGCCCTATGCTGGAACTCACTGTGTAGACCAGGGTGCCCTTGAACTCAGAGCTCCCCCTGCCTCTGCTTCCTGAGGGCTGGGATTAAAGGAGTGACCACCATGACTGGCTTTCTGTTTTTGTTTTTAGGAGACTTTTTCTGTAACATACTTATAGAATGGAAGTTTGACAACAAATAGAGTATAATTGTGTCACTAAAGAGAATTATAAATTATTACCTGTCTTGGACCTGCATGCTCCCATGGATTTATAAAAAGCATAGATATTAAATCTATGGATATGTTCGTCTTACAACATACTGCGAATGACTTAAAGAACAACATTTAATGAAGTGTGATTGGAAATGTTTGTGACCACAAACTTCCTATTTTATCTTATTTCCCTTTGTTGTTCTGTATTTAACAAAAACTTACCTGCAAAAATACTTTATACCCTTTTAAACTGGTCCACCAGAGTGTTGGCCCTCTCTCTTCTGGCTGCTGCAGTTTGTAATGCTTTCACATAATACCTCCACATGCTTTAGTTTTTCACATTTTGATGAATAAAAACAAGTGTTCTGTGTAAATTTTTAAAAACTGGAAAAATAGATTGGGCATAGTGGTGCACACCTTTAATCCCAGCACCTAGGAGGCAGAAGCAGGTGGATATCTTTGAGTTTGAGGCCAGGCTGTTGTATAAAGTGGGTGCAGGACAGCCAGGGCAGTAAGGAAAAGTACGAGATTTCCAAACCAACAGGCCTTTTTTAAACATAGAAGTTAGGGATCAAATTTACAGATGTGCACTGCCACACCTGGCTTTTTAATGTGAGCATCGGGGTTGTAATTTAGGTTTTCATGCATGACAGACATTTTACTGACCGAGCTATCTCCCCAGCCACTGCAGTTCTTTGAGCTTCACACTGATACTTTTAAGAGATTCTAAAGGTGCTTTTTGGGACTTAGGTGAAGGAATACCTTTCCATGGACAAAGACGGGATTCTTTGAGAGGAAGCTGCTCAGGGTGGCAATAGGTTTTTGATTTCTGCGTATAGATCTAGAACAATATCACTGAAGTGTATTTATTCATGTTATTTTTAGGAGGAGTGAAGTGTCTAAAAAGACTCTCAGGCAGGAACTGAAAGTGGAGAAACAGGTTTGAATGCTTCAGAAGCAGAAGACTTCCAAGCCTGGTCTCTAGAGTGAGTGATAGAATTTGGGAGAGGGTAGAGGTTGTGTCTTGAAAGCTCTCTAGGACAGAGAGAGTGAATTCTGCTCCTAGTGAAGGGATTTCAAGGCTAAGGGTAACACCATCCTTCTTGCTCTTTTAGAAGGCACCAGGCCGCACTGGGATCCAGATCCAGGGAGAATGACCTGCAATAAAATAAGTCATGCTTTCAGTTTATCTTTTTATTTTATGTGTATGAGTGTTTTGCCTGCATGTATGTATGTACACTATGTGTATGGTTCCCATACAAGTCAGAGGTGGGAGTCAGATTCAGTGGAACTAGAGTTATGGATGAGCCACCATATGGGTGCTAGGAACTGAACCCAGGTCCTTTGTAAGAGTAATTGTTCTTTTTGTTTGACTGATTTTTTTTGAGACTGGGTTTCTCTGTGTAACAGCTCTGATTGTCCTGGGCTTGGTTTTGTAGACAAGGCTGGTCTCGAACTCACAGAAACCTACCTGCCTCTGCCTCCCAAGTGCTGGGATTAAAGGCCTGCGCCACCACACCTGGCTGACTAAGTGTTCTTAATTACTGATCTATCTCTACCCATAGTTTTGGTTTTGAATGAGGGAGTTTATTTAAATATATAGCAAGTCACGGTAAGAATAAATATCAAGTCACAGATACCGGAACATCTTTAAATGAGATGCTTAAAATATCCAGCAGAAGTCAATTGGAAAAGCCCTGTTGAGGCAGGTATCTAGAGTTCTTGAGAGTGTTCCATGTCCTCTCATCCCCACTTTGAAGTTTCCAAGTAAAAGAAGAAATAAATAGCAGCTAAGGGGTAACCATTAGAAACCCAGTGGGGAAGTGGCCAGCTGGAGCTCCAGGTCAGGAGAGCCTCTGGCTGAGCAATCTCTCCAGCAAGGCGCCAGAGAGCAATAGCATCATCAAATCTCCTGATAATCGGCTAAAACCAGTTGACACAGCCAGGTGGAATTCCCTGTTGGGCTTTCTCTCCAGGGATGAGATTCCTATTGCTGAACTTCCAACTTCTTTCCACTCTTATATCATGGGATAAATAATAATTAACACCTATTGGAAATAGTTTGCCTTTTCTCCTTGTTTTTAAGAACATGATGTTTTGGGCTGGTTTATTCTCTTCTCTCTCTGTCATAGTAGGGTTTTTTTTTTGGAGGGAGGAGTGGACAGCACATGCCTAGACAGAGGCCTTAGAGGGTACTTTATAAAAAATATGTTTAGGTGTGAAATGGGGCAGGACCTCCAGAACCAGATTCACAGTGAGCTGGGACAGCTTTTGACAGCTTACAACCGAATGAGTGTCCACAGGCCTGAGAACTTAGTGATCAGGCTGCTTTGGAAGGCCTGTTGAGCAATGTAGTCTGGACAGGAGACAATGCCCAAGGGATTGCTGCTGTAAAAGCGGCAGGATTTGATGGATTGTCATAGACTGTAGACAGAACCAGGGGTGCATTCTAGGTTTTGTGCTCAGAGTAACTGGACGAGTGGGTGGTGAGACTTAAAACTTGAAGGAACATATTTTCAGACTTGTCTCTGCAGAATTTGATTATAAATGGTATACATTAAATGTGTAAATTATTAAATATTTTATTTATATTTTAAATAACAGGTTTGTATATTTAGATACCACAAAATTTACCCATTCAAATGTATCATATCTCACCAATTTTAGGTCATTTTTGTTGTTACAAAACAAAAAATCTCTATGCAGTAGTATACTATATACAGTCTATACACAATAATCACTCTTATTTCCAGCTTTTGGCAACAATTAATTAATCTAGATGATATATCATGTGGCTTGTATCAGGCTTTCTTTTTCTTTTTTTTCCAAGTCTCATGTATATTATAGTGTATCAATACTTCGTTAAAAAAATTTAAAGATTTATTTATTATATCTGTGTTAGTGTTTTGTTCACATGTATGTGTGTGTGCTGTGTGTATGTCTTGTGCCCTGAAAGATCAGATGTGGCCATTGAATCCCCAGGAGTAGAGTTATGGATGGTTGTTAGCCATTGATGTGAACCAAACCCAGGCTCTTCCTGAGCCATCTCTCCAGTTCCAACTCTTCATATCTTCTTAGGACTAAGTAACATTTCCTTGTACAGTACTGTAGTTGCACTTACTGGTTGCTGTGACCTGAGCAGAAGCAATTGAAGGAAGGTTTATTTTTGGTTCATGGTTTTAGAGGTTTTAGTTCATGGTGGACACTGGGAGAAGGTTAGTTTATGTCTAAAGGTAGTAATAGTGTACATATATTCAAATAATTGTGTCGTGAAATGTTTATAAGCTCTTTCTCCTATTTTATTATTGGCAAAAAAAATAACAGCTCTTACCACATGTGTACTTTATAGTTATATAACAAAGGTTATAATACTTTTTTTTTTTTTTTCGAGATAGTGTTTCTTTTTGTAGCTTTGACTGTCCTGGACTCACTTGTAGACCAGGCTGGCCTTGAACTCAAAGAAATTCACATGTCTCTGCCTCCCTAAGTGCTGGGATTATAGGCGACTGCCTCCGCACCCAGCTAGTTGTGATACATTTTATATTACAAAATATACACATTTTTTGATGTGCTTCTTGACATAAGGGAAAAAACTATTTTCAGAAATGTTAGCTCATATTTACTAAATGTGCATGTTGTTTCTTTACTGCAGGAAGCTTATGTGCCTCATTTCTTACTCAGAATTACCAACTGCCAGTTCTTGATACAATGTTTATAAGAAAGAAATATAGAGGAAAAGATTTGGGGCTTCACATGCTGGAGGATTTTGTTGATTCCTTCACAGAAGATGCTCTTGGCTTGAGATATCCACTGTCTTCTCTCATGTACACAGGTGAGTGGACTGAGCTGAAAAATATTAAACGTAATCTCACCTAAAATTTGTTTTTCCAGAATTTGGTAAATGTATATTATCAGTTTAATTGAGATTGGAATTTTTCATTTTTTAGGACTTACCTTTCCAAATGTAGTTTTATTTGATGGTATCTGGCTGTTATATAGAACATAACATTTTTTAATGTTATGTGGAGACAGGCTGGCATAATGACCTTTCTGCTGTGACCTCCAGGCTCTGGGATTACATGTCAAGGATGGTATAACATTTTTTGCAAGGCTTTTTTCATTTTTTTCCAAAGCTTGTTTATTTTGAGATGAGAAATTTCTGTGCCTTCTATGTCATATTTTCCTGATTCCTTACTGTTCTAAAAACCTTCTGTAGATGTCCTCTCTTAGGGTGCTGAGATGTCTCACTTAGTCTGCCACCCCACACCACTGATAACCAGTGTTCCAGTAATCAACTGTTCAGAGTTGGTTACATGCAAATAAACCCTGCTGTGGGAGTGCGAGGCAAGGAGGAAATCCAGTTAGTATGACTCGGTAGCCAGTGTTGGGTCAAACTTCTAGAGTCTGATGCTGGGCAGTTTATTTAAGGCATATTTAGGCATATTTAAGTACAGTACACTCTGGAAAAAGTTTCCTGGTTTAACACAATCCCATGTCTTAAAGCCTAAGACGTAATTACATTGGAATTCTTTCAAGGTCCATGTCACTTCTTACGTAAAGATATGCTACATGTGTTATCTTGAGCCATGGGAGGGGCTGGTGTGGCAGGTGCTCAACAGTCATGGAGGTAGTACAGAGGTCACTGAGGCTGTCAACCTTTTCTGCTCCGCTGTGTGGGAGCCTGGGGTAGCCACATGTGGCCTGGCCCTACAGAAAACACAGAGGCCATCTAGACTATTGACCACCGTCATTCTCAGCCTTCTGGTCAGAAAACAGATTATACATCGTTCCCTTTGAAGAGACAACCCTGCATGTTCCATATTCCTGGTTTCCCTGGTATGGATCTGTGAGCTCAAGGACCTCTGTGCTCCTAACACTGTTGTCCGAGACAGTTTATTCCACTTGTGCGTTTATTTTACACTAATTCATATTCTCTCATTAAAATGGAATTTAAAATAATTTCTGGGGTCATTTGTACTCTGAAATCCACTGTGTAATAGTCTGAGTGGAGGATAGGTATTGAAGAGAAGGGTTTCCTAAGGTTCTGACCTCTCCCACTTCTACTCCTTTTTAGTAAACCAGCCTTTAGAATGCACCTTGTGTGTGCGTGTGCATTTTCATATGTGTGTACTTGTACCTGTGTGTGTATACTTCTGTGTACATGTGTGCCTGCCTACTTGCCCCAGGTGTGCTAGTGCCTGTGATTCTGGAAAGGGCTGTGAACCTCCTAGAGCTGGATTCATAGGCAAGCTGGGAGCCTCCCAACATGGCTGCTGGGAGCCAAACTGGTCCACTGGAACAGCTGGTCTTAACAGCTGGACCATCTTTCAGCCCTTCTTTTCAAGTTGTGTACCGGTATTTATACTGTTTGTTCTAGGACATTTTTGGTTAAATTTATTTTTAGGTATAGTTTAGTTTTTAGGCTCTTATGAATGATATAGTTTTCCTGATTTCCCTTTCTAATAATTTGACATTAGTGGGTCTGAGGATATGGCTCAGTGAGTAAGAATACCCAGCTTCGAAAGCAAAAGAACATGAACTCAAATTCCCACCACCCAGGTCAAAGTTGAGCATGGCTGCAAGTGCCTGTAACTCCAGCGTTGGAGGGTTAAGTATGGACATATATCCCGAGCTTTGCCAAAACTGTGAGCCTTGAGTTTAGTAAGAGACCATCTCAGGTAATAAACCAGAGTAATAGAGGAAGATACATCTGTTTTCCTCTGGCTTCTGCATGCCTGGTACATACACACATACATGTGCATATACTTTACACACTTACACACCACACATACCCTATCTACACAATAAATATGTACATAAATTAAACAAATACATAGGAGCTGGAGAGATGGCTCATCAGTTGAGAGCACTCGCTGCTTTTCTAGAGGACTTTTGTTTGATTCCCAGCACCACCCGTCCATAACTCCAGTCATGCAGGATCCTAATCTCTTTCCTGGCCTCCATGAGCAGCAGATAAACATGTGCTACACAGACACACATGCAGGCAAAACACGCATACACATGAAAGAGCTACATTAAACAAAATAGTTTGCTCTTTCTGTATAGCAGCCCTAGTGGCGTTTATATGCTGCTTTTGTGTCCTGCAAGTTTACTCTGGTTTTCAAATATAAAACTGAACAAGACATGTGTTACAGAGGAATTAGAATTTCCTTTTACAGGTTTATATTCCTTGGTAAAAAATTTGAAAACAGACTCAGAAGAAAGCTTAAGAATAAAACTTGAGAATTTGAAAGAAAAACAAACAGCAGGATTGGCAAACTGTAAGTCCCGGCAGCCGCTGGGGGAGATGGAGAAAAGGAAGAGTGAGAGTCATGCCTTTTGAATTGTGGTCAGCCATGGGGACGGACGTGCAAGTAGCCGCCTGAACAGTAAAGAGTGAGAAATCCCACAATGTTGAGGAGCGCGTGCTTAGGTTGTTTTGGGTTGCATTCAAAGGATAGACATAAAGGGCAAAAGGAAGAGTCAGCTCAGAAAAGCGGCAGGCTTAGCAGTGACTGTTTGTGAGCAACCCCCAGAAGAGATGGACTCCTGGGATGTGTGAGGGGCTAATTATCTCTCAGTCTTAGAGAAATTACTTTTCCTGAGGGGTGGGTGCCCAGGTCATTGGCAGGCCTGTGTATTGCTTTTTGTTTTTGTTTGCTTGTTGTTTTTTTGTTTGTTTTTTAGTCAGGGTTTCTCTGTGTATCCTTGGCTGTCCTCCATTCACTTTGTAGACCAGACTGCCCTCCAACTCACAGAAATCCACCTGCCTCTAGAGTGCTAGGATTAAAGGTATATGCCAGCACACCTGTCCTCCTATGGATTAATTCTTAAGGAAGGGAACAGTAGTGCATAGTGTTCTCTTCTTTGGGATGCTGGGAAGGCAAATCTCTGAATTTGAGGTCAGCCTGGACTACAAAGCAAGTGACAACACACAGAGAGACCGAAATACATAGACAAACAAATAAAATGTCATGTCTCCACCCAAGGCCAGAAGTAAGACCAGGAGAGTGAATTCCAGAACAACCAGGGCTACATAGAGAGAGACCAAAAATTTTTTTTTTTAAATCTTTTATTTTTTTTTTATTAATTACACTTTATTCGAGACCAAAATTTATACATAGAGTGAAACAAAGAAAAGAAAGAAGGCTCCACTAAGAGACCGAAGGCAGACCAGGAGGAAGTAGCTTTCCTTAGTAGTTGTCTGAACCTCCACTTTTTCATATGGTAAGTGGGAGTCCAGGCCCAACGCTGACGGTGACCATCTTCATTGGCTTCCAAGCCTGCTAATTCCTATCTCTGTCTTCCTTACTCCAACATCTCAGACAATCCAATAGCTAATATAAAATCTGAACAACTCTGAGCGCTGATTTGATGCCACAGGTATGAAATTCCACAGTGGACTTCATGTGAAGTCAGAAGCATAGACTTACCAAAAATAATATATATAGTTATCTTCAGGCTGTACGTATAAGGGATATATAACAAAAACGTCTTTGTATTTAAGGTTGGCAAATATTAAAACATCTGAAAAGAAATCCAAAACAACTTCTGTCTAAAGCATTTGGGATAAGAGATACCTATGTAGTAGATGCAGAACAGTCTAGTGACCATTTACACATGTGTATGAGAGTTACCTTGGGTTAGAATTCCCGCCGCTCCAAGAATTACATTTCTTATTCTAGCCCAGGGGCATAGCTCTATGATTTGAGAGGGCTGGAAAATCCTCAGTTACAAGTCAGTCTGTGGATTTGCACAAAATCTGTTTATGTGATAGAATAGTATCTTTGAATTCAGTATACGGATTACAAAAGTTTGCATTTAATGAGAATTACCTACAGGCTGAGTATGCTTCACCAAAATGGAAAATGCTCCAAGTCTGAAACATAGGAAGCGTATGTCACCCAAAAAGTTTCATGTTTTAGAGCATTTTAAAATTTCAGATCAATTTACAATACTGTAAAGCCTATTCAAATATTTAAAATATGAAAAACTCTAAAATTGGAAACAGCATTTCAGATAATGGGGTTTTGTATCGTTCATCTTCTCTGTGGAGCTGTTGAATTCCGGCAGCCCTTCCTTTTCCTTTGGTATCTAGACATAATTGCACTCCTGAAATCAGTGAGTGCATCCTTCTTTCCCATGGTGTCACATTTGCATGTTCATAAACTTTTAAAGCATAGTGTGCTTTGTGGTTGTTCTTGTGTTAACCAGTTTTACAGTTGTGATGATGATATTTGTCATTTAGTAAGTAATTTCTGTTGTTTGTACACAGTGCTGTATACTCATCATCACTATTTCCAACCCTTTTTTTCATGCCCAACATGAGTTGCCTTTTGTTAACCTTTGTATTGCCTATTCTAGCTAGATCACATAAATGGGATTACATAGTGATTGGCCTCTTGTTTGTGACTTATTTTGACAAACTATCAAATGTTTTCCTGTAACATTTTTTGTATGATTTTCAACTTTACACAGTGACTCCATTCATACGTGTATTGATATTCTTTAATTAACAATTTTTATTTGAAAATTTATGAGATTTTTACTTTTTTAAAAGCTTTGTTTACTATTTTATGTGTATGAGTATTTGACTGGCATGTGTACCTGTACAATGTGAGTGCTCAGTGTCTGTGGAGGTTAGAAGAGGCTGTGAGATCTCCTGGAATTGGAGTTACAGATGGTTGTGAGTCATCATGGGTTCTGAGAACCAAACTCAGGTACTCTGGAAGAGCAGCAAATGCTCTTAACCAGGAAGCCTTCTCTCCAGCCTCAAGAGTGTGACTTGTGACTGAGACTGCTGTGTACTCTTAGAGTTACCTTGGCTGTGTTTTTGGTGACAGGTTTACGCCCCTCACTGACTGACTTGGGCACCTTTTGTCTGTTCTTTTTTTTAAATATTTACTTATTCATTATGTATACATTCTTCTGTCTACATGTACACCTGCACCAGATCTCATTACAGATGGCTGTGAGCCACCATGTGGTTGCTGGGAATTGAACTCAGGACCTTTGGAAGAACAGTCAGTGCTCCCAACCTGAGCCATCTCTCCAGCCCCCTTGTCTGTTCTTTTTGCCATTTGAGATTTCTAGGAAATTGTTAAATGTGTTTTGCAGCTTCCAAGCAATACTTTGAAAAGTATCCGGGAGATCATGAACTTCTTTGGGAAGTTGAAGGTGTGGGTCATTGGCATCAGCGGATACCAGTCACCAGAGCATTACAGAGAGAAGCAATTAAAGTTACAGGTGAGACTGGTAGGATATGGGACTGTTTAAAAAGGAGCAACCCATAGTGGTGGTGCCTTACTCCTCAGTGATGTGACCTTTCTGGGTGCAGACCCCCTTTGAAAGTTTGGAGTTTTAGTTATGCTTTTACTTACGAGTCACTAATAAAAAACGGGCTTAAGAGGCGGCTGGAGAGATGCCTCAGCATTTAGGGACACTTGTTGCTCTTCTAAAGGACTGGCCTCAATTCCCAGCACCCACACGGTGGCTGTTCTATCTCCAGTTCCATGGGATCTAACACCTTCTTCTGACCTCCTCCATGGGCACCAGGTACACACGTGGTGTGTACATACCTGCTGGCAAATGTAAAATTAAAAAACAAAAGATAAAAGCAAAAACAGACCTAGACTAGCCTAAACACTGAAATAGCCCAATGGGAATTGGGAGTAAAAAATAAGTATATTAATGAAGAAGCAAGGGTTAGGCTTTCTGGGTCAAAGGATTAGTTTAGGTATTATAAAGGAAAGACGTGTCATACCTAGATTCTTGATTCTTTTTTATCTGTGCTGCTCTTGGGAGCCTGTGAAAATAATGTACTTTAAAATGAAAATCAAATATGATTGGCTCATAATTTAAATTTTTTTCTATATATATAGAGATTTCTCAATATGAAGCCAAAAGACCTGTATCTGTAGAATATGGTCTTGCTGCTGTACCAGAATATGAACCTGAAATGGAAGACAGCCAATCTAGTGAAATGCAGGTATACTCTTTGACCATCATAGGAAATAGTAATGTTTTTGTGTCTTTTGTTTTTGCTGTTTGTTCTGGTGACAGTGAGCATTGAGCGTGGGGCCTTATGTATGTTAGGCAAGTGTTTCACCACTGAGTTATCTCTGGCCCAGCCACCTGTTTACTATTTGTTTTGGGGTGAGTCTCATCAAGTTGCTTGGCTAGCTGTTATTCTAGCCTGGCCTTAACCTTTAAACTGTCCTGCCTTAGCCTTACGACTAGTTCAGTCTGTATTTACACTATGAGGCCCAGCTAAAGTTTCAAACATTACAGTTTATTCAACAAATTTAGGAAACTCCAGCTGTATTTGTTTTCTTTGTGGCTTCTTTCAATTGATTATTAAAGATTTAATGCTCTTTGAAAACATATTTATAATGATGTTTACAATATTACAAGCTAATTAAAACTAATTTAAAGCTGGGCAGTGATGGTACACACCTTTGATCCCAGTACTGGGGAGGCAGAGGCAGGTGGGTCTCTTTAAGTTCAGCCTGATCTATAGAGCGAGTTCCAGGACAGCCAAAGCTACACAGAGAAACCCTGTCTTGGGGGGGGGGGGGAAAAAAAAAAAAAAAAAACCCAATTTAGGATACAAATGAAAAAAAAAAAAAAAATATATTACTACCCCCCATTTTTTTAGCCATTTTTTTTTTTTTTTTTTTTTTTTTTTTTTTTGCATGTATACGTAATACAACTTTTACTCCATGTCTTAGTTGACACATGAGTTGACTGTAGAGCCAGCGTGGTGGTACACGCCTTTAATCCCAGCACTCAAGGAGGCAGAGGGCAGGTGGATCATTGTGAGTTCGAGGCCAGCCTGATCTACAAAGCAAGTCAGCCAAGGCTACACAGAGAAGCCCTGTCTGGAAAAACAGAAAAAGAAAAGAAAAGGTTTCTAACCTTTCTAACGATAACACACATAGTAGAACTACTGAAAACTCCGTTTTAATTTTTCTCTATATTCCTATATTTAGAACATTGTCATAAGTCACTGTCCCTGTTCCTTCTCTTTAGTTGTTTGTTGTTGAGACAGTGTCTAAATCGGCTGTCCTGACTGGCCTGGAACTCACGGAGACCTACATGCTTCTTGGTCCTGAGGTCTTGGACTGTGTGCCGCCATGCCCAGCAGAGCCTGCTCTCTTTATGCCACAGTCCATACTCCTCAGAGCCATATCCACCCACTGCTTTCAGTTACTACAAAAGCAAGGAGAACCAGGAATCTTGTTTATTTTAATATAAAGCCAAACACTTTTAAATGTCATTTGATTGAGAAACTGTTGAGGTGATAGTCTGTCATAAGCTTAATAGCATAAATTGTATATTCTGTCATTTTTGAAGTTCATATTCTTCATACTATTTAATGTTTTAGTTCAAGAAAACTTTGTAGCCACCTAGTAGTTTTAGTTAGACTACATGGTTTATTCTTGCTTTTACTTATTTGTGTACATAAATCATTACATGTGTTTCTCTTTGAATCTCTTTATCTTTTCATTTTTATCTTTCTAGTTGAATAATATAGACTTCCTGAGGGCAAGGTTTTTATTATGCATTTGCCACAGTTACCTACCATAATTAGACTTTAAATTTTTCATTACTGCATATATACATACATTTACACAGTACAATGTGAAATTTTATTACGTACATTATGTGTATGATTGGATTTGGATAATTTGCATACCTATTGCCTCAAAACACTTGCAATTACTTTATTGGTATCTTTCAAATGCACATAGCTCTACTAGCTGTTCTGAAATACAGTATCAGTTCTTGTCGACCTTAAATAGATCTTTTGACATCTGTGCTTATCATGTTGTAGTTGAGTAAGTGTGGAATGGTAAATGAGTGGATGGTGTTTTGTAATGGAGTAGGCGTCAGCATGAAGTGGACATCCAGAGGCATGGTTCTTGTATACATGAGAGAACTAGTTGATCCCTTGTTGGAAAAATAAACTACAGGATACTAATTGTTATTGTCGCAAAGATTGAAGGTATATAGCTAAAGGATGATTTAAGGACAGGTGGGAGCTCTATGAAAAGGGTTGCTAGGGCATTTTAGGCGATAACATGTAAAAGAAATAACATTTGAAGTGAAAGGGTTATCAAAAAGTTTTTTAGTTTGCATTCTATACAGTGCTAAGGTGTTTATTTAAGGTTTAAGCAAAGTTTGTGTTGGGAAGCATTATTCTCTTGGGTGTGAAGGATCAGATAGGATGCAGTGGGAATACTTGACCGGTGAGGAAGCTGTATTTCTTTTCTTTTCTTGCTCAGATTAAGATGGTAAAGGCCTGGGGAAAGCAGTGCTGATAGGACAGGGTAGTTCCGAGTGAGCCTTCATTTAAAATCAGCAAGCTTTGTGATTGCTTGAATGAGGGCTAGAAAGACCTCATTTTCTGTGTTTTAACTAGAGTGACTGTAATTGTTGTTGCCATTAATGTAGATAAGGAATAAAGTCGGGAATTTATCTTTAGCTAGGTTTAATGTGAAATCAGAGGAACCATTTATTTGGAGATACTTGCTTTGGAAATCAAGGTAGAAGTTGGGGAACTTTAGTTGTATGTTTAAAAACATTAGCAGTAGATACCTGTGTGAAGATAGCATGCTAAACAAAACAAAATCCAACAACAAAACCCCCAAAACACCAAAACCAAAAACCCCAGCAGAACAAATAGGTGTGAACATTTTAGATCCTCGGATAAGTTCTTAGGCTTATAATGAACAAAGGCTATAAATTTAATTTTGAAGGTAGATTTTGTAATAAAAATTACTGTTTGAATACAGTTAAATATTTTTCTTTGAAAGTATGAACGAAATAGGTCCATAGTGAGAAAGGATAGCTTAAAACATTAGATTTTAATCTTTATCTCTATTTTAGATCCATTCCCTAAAAGATGCCTTTGCTAGCACTTCTGAAGGTAAGAAAATCAGCTGTTCTCTTAGTAAGTGTTCTAGCTTTGGGCTCTCTGTCCTCATGCCACCACGGCCCCTGGTTTTACTGTGTGTGAGCACTGAGGGTGCTGTTGAACCCCCCCTCTCTTCTTGTCACATAGGGATCATAATGTCTGCCTCATTCCCCCCAAGTTAGTAAGAGAGCGCATAAACGAAAGTGCAGAAGCAGAGTAAACCTCATGTAGGGATATGAGGAGTGAACATTGACAGTTATTTTATAATGAAAACAAAGCTGACATTGTTTTTGTAGCTTGATCTGAAGGAAGGAGCAAAACTGTAATGGGACAGTGGGTGGGTTAATCTACTGTAGTTTTTGCATTTCTGTGTGTCTTAATAGGTAGTCCTTTCCATGCATAGTGAAAGGCATTTCTACTGGTTTTCTCTCAGGTCTCGAAAAGACACCTGTTTCCACTCGCACGCGAAGCGGTCACCTAAAACGACCAAAGATTGGAAAGCGGTTTCAGGATTCTGAATTTAATAGTTCTCAAGGTGAAGATGAAAACACTGCCCAGACTTCACCTATCGCTCCAATGAACAAGTAAGGAAGACATGATATTTCTTTCAGATTATTTCATGTATTATTGCTTCTGTACTGTTGGTATCTGTTAGCCAGGAAGGCGGAGCTGCCTTTTGCTGGTGCAGCAGTTAGCCTTGTTGAGGGTTAGCTTTTTGTCAGGCTTCCCAGGAGTGTACTATCTGGACAGTGTTATGAAAAGCGCTAGCGAGTAAGAGCGGAATGTATGTGCAAATCCAGAATATTCTAGTCATTGTGTTCTCCCAGAAGATTCATTATCATCAGCTCTGAATTTGATAGGATAGGTTTTAGTAATCCTGAAACTTAAAGCCTGTTTTTTTTTTTTTTTTTTAATAAGTTACTTTATAATGAATCCACTCTACCTGGGCTACTGGACATAGTTTGTAGGTTAGTGATAACCCCAAAACTACAGTCAGTTCTTCCAGAGCCTTGGCAGTCAGCAGAGTCAACAGAGCGCTGAGTAAGCGTTTATCTTCAGACCGGACATGGTGACTCATGCCCCACAACTTGGGAGGCTGAGAATGTGAGGCTATCTTGTACTGTATGGTAAATCTCTTTCTGAAAAAGGTGAAAATGATGAAGTTTCTCCTATTTTATTTTTCAGTTTTTGAAGGAGGCTTTCAGTGGTCTGAAACTTGCTTTATGGCCATTTCCTTCTGCCTCTTACTACAGGAGTCCAGCACAGTATCAAGTTTATATAGTACAGGGGGATTGAACCAAGGGCTTTGTGTATGCTTCATGAGTTCTCTACTGAGCCATCTCCATAGCCCTTCCTTAGCATCTAATGAAAACCAAGATTTTATGTTTTATATTAAAATTAGACTACCAACCATTCAGTTTAATCATTTAGTTAATTTATAGCTTTGTCATTTTAGATGCCAAATTATTTACTCAAAAAAATCTGTCAATTTGACTATGTAAATAATTTTAGATTGGGATAATAAAATGTTTACATTAAAGATATAAATAAATACATAAATCTCAAAATGTATGAAATGAATAATAGGTTTAGATAATTATGCCTTATTCTCACAAGCTATTATTTAATGTAATGACTTATGTTTGAATTTTTAAGGTTTGTGTGTGTGTGTGTGCATGTGTGTACCTGTGAGCTTATGCAGCATCCAGAAGAGAGCACTGGGTGCCTGTTCACTGTCTGCCTGTTCCTTTAGGGCCGGGTTTTCAAAGATAAGTAGACATTTAGAAGCACGGTTAGGAGAGACTTTGGATTCAAGGCCTCCCAGCCATGCTCTGCAGGCTCAATATGGCCGACCATCTCTTTGTTTGGTTTTGATTATTTTTGCATGGTAGGGCAGACATTGAACCCAGGGCCTCACACATGTAAGTTCTTCCTGAGACAGAGTTTCTCTGTGTAGTGCTGGCATTCTGGCATTCACTCTGTAGACCAGGCTGGCCTCAAGCTCACAGAGAACCTCCTGTCTCTGTCTCCCAAGTGCTGGGGTTAAAAGCATGCACCATCTCTCCCCACTTCCGTATTACACGAGTTATTTCATACACAGTTAATGTGTTTACTTCTTTCTACCCTTCCCTCTTCCCCTTGCAACTCTTCTTGTGTTTTTCTCCAACTCTATCTCATTTTTATTCAAGCAACCATATTTAACTCCCTGACTACCATAGGGTTGTGGCCATATCATAATGCATTTAATCCAACTTCAAAAGTCACCATAAATTTTCAGTTTCAGTACTTTAAAAGTCCAAGGTTCAAAGACACTCATGAGACTCGAGGCAATCTCCTAATTGTAATGCACTGTGGGCTCGGAGGCACACACCTTGAATCCTAGCACTTGGGAGGCAGAGGCAGGTGGATCTCTAAGTTCCAGGCCAGCCTGGTCTACAGAGTCCAGGACAACTAAAGCTGCACAAGCTATCTTGAAAAATCAAACCAAACCAAAACAACAAGGAGACAACAACAAAAAACAAACAAAACAAAAAATAAAAAAAAGAATTTTTCAGTTGTAACCCCCTGTAAAATCAAAAAGCAAATTACATACCATCAACATACAAGGCACAGAATATTCATTGAGAGAGGAAAGGGAGCATAGTGAGGAAATACTGGACCAAAGCAAAACTGAAACCCATGATAGAAAACTCCAGGTCCTGTGGCTCTGTGTTTCATGGTGTTCCTTTTCTTTTTAAACTGTGTTTTGTATTCCTTTTTGCCCCGCTACTCTTTTTCGTTGTCAACCTGTATAAGCGTGATTAGTAATAACCACAGGGCAGAATGATTATTAAGATTTCAAGGCTGATTAGCCCGCCTTGACATCTCCTCTGCTGAAGAAATTGTGCCGTTACTTTTCAGTTTGGTGTCAGACAAGTTCTTAGGACAGATGGGAGGCAGCCACATTCTTTGCCAAAATATCAACAAGATATTAGCCAGGTTGCTAATACTCTTCCCCACTGAGGCCTCTTGAGTTGGGTCTCCACAGTTCATGTAGTTTTCTGTACTGCCGTCTTCCAATCGTCTACCAGGATGGACGGTAAAGCTCTCCTTACAGCATTCAGCCACTTTCCTAGTCCAGAGTCCCAAAGTCTTCCATATTCCTTCAAGGAGAAAAAGGAAAAGGAAAACCAAAACCAAAACCACCCAAACTAGATGGTCGTGTTTGTCACGGCAGTTGCCCGTGCCATGGTTCCACCTTCTTAGCTCCTTCTCTGTTGGTATGACAAAAGACCATGGCAAAATCAACTTAAAACCATGGTTCACTTGGTTAAAGTTCCAGAGGGTAGGAGTCCATCACTAGAATGGCCAAGAGTATGACAGGAGGCAGGGAAGTCTGGTTCTAGAGCAGCAGTCGAGAGCACATCCTACACCACAAACAGGAAGCTGAGAGCATACTCCCAATGACATACCTCCTAATCTTTCCCAAACAGTCCTACCAACTAGGCACTAAGAATTCAAACTTAGGAGCCTGTGGGAGCCTTTACCTTTGAAACCACATATGTATTTTCTAGTTCCATCCATTCACTTAAAAATTTCATTTTTCTTTACAGCTGAATAGAAATCCACGTTACATATTTATCACATTTTCCCTTTCCATTCATCAGCTGAAGGACATTTAGGTTATTTCCATTTCCTATCTATTTTGAACAGAGTGGCAGCGAACATTGTAGAGTATGATGTCAGGTTCTTTGGGCATATGTCAAGTAGTCAGTACCTGTGGTTATAGATAGTACTTACGATTAGGCACTAACAATATTGGAAGTAAACTGTGATCTATGTTCATTTCAGTAGAATAAATGAAAAGTGTAGTTTAAATAGAGAAGGTGGTGATGTTTGAACAGGCAAAAGGGACAAATTTATCAGAATAAAAAGATTAGCTTTGTACCTACAAGATCTAAAACTGATAGAATAACATTATTGATTATAAAATGTTACTTTGTTCAGAAGGGATTGTAGTATGCCGAGGCAGGAGGATTGTGAGTCTCAAGCCATGTTGGACAATTTTAGTAAGACCCTTTTCAAAATAAAAAGGGCTGGGATTGTACATTGCTTGCTAAACAAGAGCTCCTGACTTCATCAACTGTATGGTCCCAAAAACGGGTCCTTGACATTTTACCTTGACCATAATAAGAAAAAGCAAGAGTGATGCTGGTTTGTTGTCTAGACTAGAGTCCGCTGCACGTCCATCAGAGAGCTCAGAAGAGTTCCTGGAAGAAGAACCGGAGCCTAGAGTGACCGAGTGTGAAGATGGGAGCAGCGATAAAGATGCACCGCCTGCCCCAGACACTCAGCCACGCCTGGACAGAGAAGATGTGGACAAAGTAAGAAGAAGACACCACCCCCACCCATACACTGAGAGAGAAATGAGGCCATGGTTACAAGTTGTGTTGGTGGTTAAGGAAATGGACACATGGGCTGGGGTGTATAAAGCTAGGGAAATAATGAGAGCCCTCAGTGCGTGGGGAGAATAGACTGCCACTGGGGGGATGCACACTTAACAGGCGCACGGGTGATGGTGCCTTGTGGGACCAGGGTTATTAGAAGACTAGAAAGTCGTGATTTGCATTTGGAGTTTTTATTTCTCACTGCAACTCATTTTCTAGAAAGATAGGTAAAGTAGTTACAAAACCAAAACAACACCCTAAAACAAAATAGATAAATCTTCTGTAGCTAGCCCAATCCTTTGGGCTTGGTACTTGACCCCTTTATATGTTTATTAGCCTCTTCTCCTTTTTTCTCACCTTTCCTCGTTTGTCCTTCATTTTTGATATCGTCAGTTCTTTCTGTTGCATATATTCCTTGTCATTGTTTCGTATGCACCTTCCTTTCTTGAAGACTCATCTACTTTCCTAGTGTATACAGTATAACAGTACCACCGATTTTCTGTTATTATTTTTTCATGTGTACGGGTGTCTCGCCTCCATTACGTCTGTGAACCATGTATGTGCCTGCTGCCTGCTGCCTTTGAAGGTCAAAAGGACCCAGGCAGCCATGGAGATGCACACCTTTAATTCCAGCACTTGGGAGTTATGTCTGAGTTTCAGGCCAGCCTGGTTTACATAGTTCTAGAACAGCCAGGACTATATAGAGATTCTGTCTGAGAAAAACAAAATAGAAGGCCTGAGAGTCCCTGGAATCAGAGTTACAGACAGTTGTGAGTTGTGTGTTCATGCTGCTAATTGAATGTGGGTCCCCTGGAAAAGCAGCCAGCTCTGAACTGCCGAGCATCTCCTCTGCCCTTCTGCCGGTTTCTTAAGTCAGTGCACTGCAGCCTTTGTTCTCTCTACTTTATGAAACTATATTTTCAAATGGAATTTTTTTTCTTTTAGGAAACTGGGGAAAAGCAAAGCACATACTTTGAGGGGAAAATGAATGTTTATAGTTTTTCCCTCTTAAACTGTAATATAGTGTAGTATGTTGTGAGACAGTATATGTCATATAACCTGTCTCATCCAGCAAGACATTGAGCATATGTTACTACAGCGCCCCAGTGACAGCACCACTGTAATTCTAGTGCTTTCTCCTACTTGGGGTGACAGATTGCTTTACCCACCTCAAAGTTCTTTAGTTTCCTGGATGTGTATTATGTCCATGTGACTGCATATATGTTTGAAACATGCTTTTTTCCTCCTTAATATGTATATTCTGGGAGGTTGTTTTCCCTTTTGATCTTTGGCTTGTTGCCACTTTTGTGGCGTGGGGGTGCGTGTGCATGTGCACACATGGAAAGGCCAGGGACGGATGGTGGTTCTCTTCCCTTTCTGTCTCCTTAGTGCTGAGACAGGGTCTTTCACTGAGCTCAAGCTTGGCTTTATCTAGACTGGCTGGCTAGAATGGTTGACCAGTGAGCCTAGGATCCATTTATCTCTGGTTCCTACTGCTGGTAGTTACAGGAACAAGCAGCCCCGTGTCTACATTTTTTTATGTGGATGCTGGGGATTTGAACTCAGGTCTATCACCTTACATACCTAGCGCTCCTTACTAACTGAACTCCTTCCCAACCTTAGGTCTAGATCTACAGAGTCACTTGCCTACTGCATTTCTGTCACCCTAAGTCCAATAATACTTCTGTTGATTTGTCATTTATTTTTTATTGTGTATAGGTGGTTATATTTGTGTGTGAGCGTGTGCATATGCATGCAGGTGCCCACAAGAGTGTGCTGGAACCTCTGAAGCTATCATTACAGTTAGTTGTGAACCACATAACATGGGAGCTAGGAACTGAACCTACTCCTCTCCTGCAAGAGCAGTACTCTTAACCTTAAAGCCATCTTAATTCTTCTGTGTTGAGTCTACTTCCCTGTTTTATTCATTCTGTTCTCAAATCTAGACCTTGAAGGGCTGACTTTTTCCTTTTCTTTGCTTCTTTTTTTGTGACCACAGGTTTCTCCCCCCCCCCCCCCCCCCCCCCCGCTCCAAACACAGTTTTATCTTATGTTCTGTCTTTCTCATTTTCTTCCCCTTAACATTTTCCCACTCTGGTTGGTTCTTCTGTGAGTTTTCTGTAATTACCTTCTGTGTATAACCAGCTCTGTATACCGCTTGGTATAATAGTAATATCTTAGTTAAGGTTTCTATTGCTGCAACAAAACACCACGACCAAAGGGCAAGTTTGGGAGGAAAGCACTTTTTCAGCTTACACTTCCAGATCATAGTCCTTCTTTGGAGGAAGTCAGGACAGGAACTCAAGCAGAGCTGGAACCTGGAAGCAGGAGCTGATACAGAAGCCATGGAAGGGTGCTACTCACCAGCTTGCTCCCCATGGCTTGCTCAGTCTGCTTTCTGATAGAACCAGGACCATCCAGGGATGGCCCCACCCATGTGGGCTGGGCCCTCCATCATTGATTACTAATTGAAAAAATGCCTTGCAGCTGGATCTCATGGAGGCATTTCCTCATCTGAGGATCCTTTCACTCTGATGACTTTAACTTGAGTCAAGTTCACACAAAGCCAGCGAGTACGAGTAAGATACATATTAATGATAGAAAACATTCTCTCCTCTCCTTATTTGTGAGACAGAATCTCCTTTTCTATAAGCCAGGCTCACCTTAGAATTAGACTCTCCTCAAACTTGTAATTCTCCTACTTTAGTCTTCTAGGTACTAGGATTATAGGCATACCCCAAGATCACCCTGAAAGTTTTTTACTTTAGAAAAGTTTTCTTTTGGAAAAGTTAAGTATAATTTAAACATCTCTTTTGGAAAACTTTGGATTTGTTTGCTTGTGTTTTTTTTTTTTTTTTTTTTTTTTTTTTTTTTTTTTTTTTTTTTGTTTGTTTTTTGTTTTTTTTGAGACAGGGTTCTCTACAGAGCCCTGGCTGTCCTAGAGCTCACTATGTAGACCAGGCTAGCCTTGAACTCAAGGTGACCCGCTTGCCTCAGCCTCCCTAATGCTGCTATTAAAGGTGAGTGTCTCCACACCCAGTAGAAAGGTTTTCTTTTATATGCTTTCAGGAATCTAGTATTGGATTTAATTTCAAATGGTCAGGTATGTTAATTTTCTAATTTTTAAAAATGGTAATAGTATACCTTCTGGTTATTAGACTATTATTAGGAATTTGAAATATTTAACATAAAATAGATGTAAATTAGTAAATATTAGGAGAAAAGCTCAAAAATTGGAAGGTTTGTGCCATCAGATCTCTTTTCTGTACTTTAATAATATGAAGCAAAGAACTGATTGTTCAGAAATCACCCTGGGTTGACTGACTGAGCCAGCTGAGACTAGGACTTTTGTTTTCCCCGCAAGAAGCAAGTAGACCTCAGTTTTCACAGGACTGGTAGTGCTCCTCTGTCCGGCATGGTAAGCTATCTGCGCATAGCCCCAACTTCCCTGGTGGTGAGCAGCGGGCAGTGTTTCACAGGGCTGGTATTAAGTCTCAACTTGCTCTGTTGCCTCTTTACTAAAAACTTCATCCCATAATTGTCCTGAAAGAAGGAACAGGATCTTTTCCCTGACTCTTAGACCCCATTGCATAACCCCTGGGCATCCTGGCCTCTCCCTGTTACCAGAGTGTAGCAGGAGTGTGCAGTCCTTGGGGATTTGTTACTTTGCTGAGTCCCTCCGCCTTCAGCAAATCTGTTCTTTAATACTCTATATTGTTTTAAATCTGTTGTGAATCTTCATGGATGAGAAGTAGGGACTGAGAGTGGACCTAATTTGAACAATCATCTATAATTAAATCCTGACTTTCCCTCTTGGTGTAGGACTCTGCATTAGAGCCTGTGAATGGTGAGGTAATGGATGATGCCCTTAAGACCTCACTTGTAACTGAAGAGGAAGACTCCACCAGTGAAGGTCTTGAAGAAGAGTTAAAAGTTGCACCTTTTAATTCCAGCGGAGAGACTGTGAATCTTGTTCCACTGGTAGCAGAATCTTCAAAAGCTCTTGAGGCTATACCAGAGAAGGTAAGGCAGAAATGACCTTACTTTTCATAGGTAAAGTTTGCCAGTATTGGTGCAATTAGGTAGATGGTAGAGGATTCAGAATCTTTTCCTCCACCATAACATGTAGTCCTTTAGGAAAACTTTTATTTCAGGTATAAATTTTTATATTTGCCTTTCAAGGTTCAAATCTATTCCCACGCCACATCATATCTACTATATGGTAACAAAGTGAGGTATTGTTCTCCGATAACAAAATGTTTTTTAAGTTCAGTAGACAGGCTAACGGAAAATTTGGTATAGTATTTAAATCAATTTGGTTAGTTTGAACTGGCTGAAAGACAGAACCGTATAGCAATGCTTTCTAAATGTCTTGCTGAAGTTGGTGAATAGAACTCCTATCGCCTTTAATGGTATTGTCTAATGAAAGCAGTCAGACTTTTCTAGCTCCAGCAGCATTAAAACTTAGAGGCAGTTGATGGTTCGGTAGGATCTTAAAGCTTAAAGTCTTAGATACTCTGAGGCAAAATTATTTCTTCTAAGTTTATTGTGTTAAATTCACCATGAGACAATTTTAAAGAAATTGAATTGGACTTAGAATATGTATTCATGCTTAACAAAGAGAATGAGTTCTGAGTTCTTGACACAGTAGTTCAATGATTGTATGAGAATGAGTCATTTTAGAACTGTAGTAAAACTCTTTACTGAGCTTTGTTTTATTATGTTTTTTCCCCCCAGACTTCACCTGTTACTGACTCAGAAATGTTGCCAGATCAAGGCCCATCTGATGATAAAGGATATATTACAGAAAAGCTGTCTCTAGTTTCAAAAAAGAAAACACATTTGGGGAGCTCAGACAGTGTTGCCACTGTATCAAATGAAGAAAAGTCTGACAGTGATTTTCCAAATTCTGTAGCAGCAGAATTTCCTGAGGAACCAGTCTCTGAGAATTTAACACCCACCATGACTTCCTCATTGGAAGATCAGGGTGAGGAAGGGGCACCTGAGGCCCAGGAGCCATCTGCTGCTCAGAGTTCTCTGATAGAAGTAGAACTTGAAGATGTGCCCTTTCCACAGAATGCAGGACAGAAGAACCAGTCAGAGGAGCAGTCAGAAGCGTCGTCTGAGCAGCTGGACCAGTTGGCACCGTCAGCAGAGAAAGCTGTGGACAGCAGCTCCGAGGAGATAGAAGTGGAAGCACCTGTCGTAGACAGGCGCAGCCTGAGAAGAAAGGCCAAAGGGCATAAAGGGCCTGGCAAGAAGAAAGCCAAGCTGGCCTAAAGGACAAAGAAACGCGGACGATAAATCCTCTTCTCTGTAACATAGTTCTTGTTTTTAAATCATGGGAATTGATAAACAGCATGGGGCAAAGGACAAATTCCAAAATTTCATGATGAACTTTTTTTTTCCCATTCATTTATTTACTTTATTTTATTTAGTATAGTGTGAAAGAGGGTAGATGGGCTGGGAGGTTGATAAAGAGCCTGTGGGTCAAGAGGAAGGGCTGTCTTCCCAGGCTGGAGTGAGGAAGATTCTTTTGTGTGTGTGATTTGTGCCTTGGGAAGGAGGGCCAGTCAGTCCAGATGGGCTGGGGTGTAGTCTGTGGCCTTATCAAGAAGAACCCATCTTCTGGCCCTGACTTTGACCCTGGCCTCCCTCCTGATTCCCTAGGGCGGTCAGGTAACCCTTGTAGATCGTGCTGGGAGATATTTTTAGTGAAAGTATTTCATGGTTGCTGTATGCTGAGAGCCCTTTCCGCTCCTTCCATGAGCCTTCAGTTGGCCATGAAGGTGTAGATGGAGTCACACGCTGCTGGACCCCTCTTCCAGATGCCTACTTTGAACTTCTTTACACATGGAGGTTTTCTCTTCAGGACTAGGATTCACCATTCTTCTTAATTTTTCAGGCTATTTTCTGTAAGTAACTTATTTTATGAACCATGGGTCAGTTTTGAGAATCCATGTCATATTTTTTTCAGCAGGTGGAACATCTATTGATATTTTAAAACTACAAATTAAAAGAACTAGTACACTTTGATCATAGAAATCTTTTATACTACGGGTTTTAATGGTAAAACTTGGTGAGGGTTCTCAAAGTTTTATCTTAGTATCAAAAACAATCTCCATTTTTAAAGTGCAGGCATATGTAAACAAAACAAATCCATGTCAATAAATATAATCTCAAGTGAGAGGACAAACATAGTTTATGGTCATTGGCTTATGAAGATTGTTTTAGTTATTTCTTATTATCAGTTATAGATGGAGTTTCTTCAGCATATGTGGAGAGGTACACACAGTCTAGACTTTTTATCTTCTGATGTTAACAGTAACAGTATTGTTAGATTTAACTGTGGCACATGGATACATAATTTAAAACTCCACCTGATGTATTAGTTTGCTATATTTTTTCTCTGTATATTTGCAGATGCTGAAAAGCTTGAGTACACTTTTATCTTTAATCTGCTAAACACCTCAAGTAGTTGAATTTAGCATATAGTTTAATTTGGACTGTGATCTTTATCAGTTACTACAAGTATATGCCCTTAGCTATACCTCCTTTATTCTTCTGCTGCTCACTCACTGTGATTCTTGTCCAAAGATCTCCATCTAGCTTACCAGCCCTTCTGTCCATTTTTGGATAGGTTTAGAACTGTACCTCACCATCTTTAGACCTAGATCATAGGAGTAAAACTGCCCTGAGTTATAAAAAAACCTAAGTTCTGTCAGGTTCTGCTGTCCCTTTGGGTCGGACATATACTTTATTTCCATGGCAAGAGCATTTGCTATTTGGAGAAACTTTTTTTTTTCCTTGACAGTAGGAATGAATAAATTGGTTATTAGACTCCATAGAAAATTTATCAGTAGTACTGTGATTAGTACTTCAATTGGATATTATTTTTGAGACCACTTAGTTTTTGAAACAGTTTGAACCTTGTGAGACAAATGCTGGGATTTTGTATCCTTATATTTGAGGTGCTGTGAGTTAATGTTCAGTTTATTTGGTCTTCACAGGTGATCTGGTAATGTCACATCTTATATTTTATTTAGGGATGCTGGTATTTTAGAAGTCTCAATAAGTTAGTCTTTAAGCAGACCAAATACCCTTGTGTGATTGTAGAACACCTGCACATACCTGTTTCTCCAATTTCTGGTTAGAAGTTGTTAGATGATTTCATTCCAAGTGGAAATTATGCTTGGGACAATTTTTCTCAGTAAATGCTAAGTTAAAGAATAATTATGATTAACCCTGACTTTGCCAAATGCTGATGCTGTATTCATTTGGAGAAACTTGGTTAACATCTCAACTAGAAATAGTAACTGAAGAGTTTAAGATTCAGAAACTTAAAATCTAATTTTCATTTTAAATATACATTTAAAATTTTCTAGTTTGGTTTTTTTTTTTTTTTGCTATTTGTTTCCCTTACATTCTTTAAATGTTTTTAAGAGATTGCATTCACTGGCAGCTCTGTGTGAACAGTCTCTAGAGCTAAAATTTTCACATATCACACTAGGGACTAGCAGTATAAACTTATACTTACCAAACTTGTTTGATATAAATGGAATTCAGAGAGATTTCAAACATTTTGTTCAGCACACAAGAAAATTTGTTACTTATTGTCTGTGACAGAAGTTAAAGTTTATAGATACCAGAGGCCAGGTCACTGGAAAAATCTTTCATATTCAGTAACATGTTGATTATATAAACTTTGTAATAAAAGTTATGTTCAGTAGGGAATCTAAATAAACAAGTTTTTGCAAGGTATTAGGAGGACTTCTGTGATTTCAAGCAGCTGTTGAGTGTTCAGTCATATTCTGTAGTCTCGTGAACTGGTACTTTTCTGAAGTTCCCTTCTGGTGTATATACATATATATTTCCTTATGTAACATAGAGCAGATGAGTATTTGCAAAATTTTAGTTCTACTTTCAAACTGAAACTATTAGACCACACAAAAATTTAAGAATTTTACTGTAAAGCCCCTTTACCACTTTTAAAGATGAAGGATTCTATTACAATTTTTAAAGAAAATGAAATGGCATGACTTTGAATGTCAGTCTTCTACATGTGCTCACAGCCCATCGATTTGCAGAGTAAGGACATGCAGTCAGCGGTTGTCTACTTTTAACAGGTGACCTCGTGTTTGTAGCATAAGGGTCTGATTTTAGAATAGGATACCTTCAAGTCCTTTCCATCAACTGAACGTCTGCTGGTGGTTGTCTTCCTTTTGTGATTACTTTCTAAGGTGTGGTCACACCAGCAAACTCACACTTCAATGTAAATAAAGAATTTATATTAACACTACACATATGTAACAATTTTAGAAATCAGTTTCTGCCTTTTATGTCCATTAACAATCTGGTGTTTTTGGTGTGGTCTGTTACAGATGTCATGCTTGTTTTCATACTTCCTGCCATGCTATTTTGGTACAAGATTGTTTGCTGTTTTTAACTCTGAAACAATAAGCAAATGCACCTCAGCAATACTCACTGCTCACCTGAGGTCAGGCTTCCTTTCACTGTAACTTAGGCAAATAGACATTATCCATTTTTATTGGTTGGAAACTGTTACAATATCATTGTAAAAAGGGTCCTGAAGTGATTTGTCTGTACCAAATGGTCACTTCCAAGAAACTAGCCTTCCTTTTTGCTAACGATCTTTATACGTCCTAAAACTTAAAAAAGAAAATGTTATATTAAAATGTCATATTAATCAGAGTACCAAGTCTTGCTGGAGAACTTATGGTTTGTTTCCTTGCTAGGGTTTTTTCCCCCCTTTAATGTTTAAAATAGTAATTAAACCTATATTTTGTGATTGTTTTCTAGTCTGTTTTAAATCCCCCTCCCCCTGGTTCATTCATGAAGAAGTGCTTAAGATATTGTGTTAGCCATTGAATGACTCTGTTAAAGGCACAACTAATCACACTGACTGTATTATGAAGGCAGACTTAAGAAAATAAACAATTTAAAGCAATATGGTGACTACAGATTAATATACTCTCTGAAGCTCAAGGCCATGACCATATGATTCATACATCACAGAAGAGTGTGGATTACCTTATAACACCTAATGACCTTAGACTCACATCTCAGGGCACTGGCACAGTCTAGAATTTTCTAAAGCAATTTTTAACATCATTGTGGCAGTATAAATGCATTCCCTATTTTGAGAATAGATATAAGTGAAAAAAATTGTGAAAAAATTTTTCAGTCTAAATTTACCTTCCTGCATTTTTATTTACTTATTTTTGTTTTTGGAGACAGGGTTTTTCTGTGTACCCTTGGCTGTCCTGGGCTCACTTTTGTAGACCAGGCTGGCTTCAAACTCAGAGATTCACCTGCCTCTGCCTCCCTGAGTGCTGGGAGGCACGTGCACACCATCATGCCTGGCTTATTGGAATATTTTATGAACTTAAACACTGTTTCAATGTGTCATTTTTTAGGATTAATGGCAACAAAATGGAAAATATCTAAATTTCCTAGCCTACTCAATTGTTTTTATTGACCTTTATGGGTCTTACAACTACACTGGTAGCCTGCATTGCGGAATGTCCACTCTTTGTTGAATGATTTAATTTTATTATATGTACATTAGTGTGAAGGTGACAGATCCCTTGGAATTGACATTACTGACAGTTAAAAGCTGCCATGTGGGCGCTGGGAATTAAACCAGCATCCTCTGGGAGAGCAGACAGTGCTCTTACCCCCTGAGCCATCTCTCCAGCCCCGCAGGCCCACTCTTTAGTACACGTCTTATCTACTTGTATGCTTGCTATTCAGGCACTAAATTTTATTAACATGTAAGCCCTTAGGCCCCAAACTGAAGACTAACTGTAAAACTGGGCAGTTTTTATTTTTCTTTACAATTTAATAAATACTTCTTGACAACTGCACATGGGGTAAGGCTGCTTGGTGGTTCAGAAGGATCACAGCGATGGTGTTTGCCTAGTGTGTAGTCTTTGGTAGTGGTTGGAGTGACGTGGATGATGTTGCTCTCAAACCAGCAAAACCGCATTTATGCACCCATCGTTTTCAGGATTGTTGGTAACTTGGGCATACTTTCCTAAGGAAAACCAAACCCAAAGGAAGAAAAGGGAGGAATGTTAAAAACAATTTTAAAGAATAAAACCTTTTATCTTATAACATTTCTAATTACCATATCCATACAAGTAAGAAATGAGCAGAAGACAAGCTAATTCAAGATCAAGTTGTACTAAGTTTATGTAAAGCGTTCACAAACAGTAGTTGGCTCCATTTTATTAATAATTATATTAGTATCTACTTTCCCAAGATGACTTTTTTCCCTTAATGTATTTCAAAACACTTTAATGACCTATTTTACAACATCTAAGTTTATGGATACTTTGGGCAGTAAAAGTAGAAACTAAATCAATGATAAGATTTTTCTTTCCTCTTCTCTCCAACTCCCTAACTTAGCTCATATACTTTTAATGCTCAGAAAAGTGTTTGTACTAGAACTACGGGAAAGCAACCCCCATTTAAATTTTTACTTACCCCAAATAACCTTGCCTCCTTGTGTCACAAGGCCCAGCTCGCTCACATTCACTTCAATAACTGTACCTTTGGTGATTACACCCAAAGTTGTATATAATGGGGATGATGGATTCTTTTTCACACCAAGTATAGGCAGGCAAAAAGTAGCTTTCAGCTCAGGATGTGTGACGTGGGCTTTTTTGAAACGCAGACCCTAATAAGTCAAACAGGGTTAGTACAGGCTTCAGAATCCACCTTTTCTAGTCATCTCAACTAGGGGAGGAACGATGGCTTAAAGCATCAGATAAAATATTAACATGTCTACAGATTAAAAATCTCACAGTGGATAGAAGTAGATACAATCCAAAAAAGGTTTTCCCATGTAAGAATATCCTGTCGATACT